ACTAGATTAAGGATATGAGCAGCAATCTCTAAGGCATACCCCCAGAATGAGATAGGTAACGAAGCTCGACTCATCATGGAACGAACCATGTCCAACAAGGTTCGATTGAGCCTCTCAGCCACACCATTAAGCTGTGGTGTCCTAGGTGGCATCAATTGTGAAACAACTCCACATTCCTTAAGATAGTTGTGGAACTCGATACTAAGATACTCACCACCTCGATCGGATCAGAGCATCTTTATCTTCCTAGCCAATTGATTCTCCAGTTCTTGTTTAAACTCTTTGAAACTTTCAAAGGTTTTTGACTTATGCTTGATTAAGTATATATACTCATATCTACTATAATCATCGGTAAAATTCACATAGAAGCGGTTAGCATCCCTTGTGGCGGATCTGAAGGGTCCACACACATCGGTGTGTATGAGATCCAACAAACCCTCACCCCTTGCACAAGAACCAACGAAGGGTGACTTGGTCATCTTTCCTTGCAAACAAGATTCGCATGTGTCATCTGACTTTATGTCAAATGACTCCAACACTCCATCCTTTTGGAGTTGGGCTATGCGCTTCTTGTTGACATGTCCAAGATGACAATTCCACAAGCATGCTTTATCCAAACCATTGGACGAATCGATATGTAATACATTATTTTCTAAGTTATCTACAACCATCACAGTTTCATATATACCATTACAAGGCAATGCTTCAAAATAAAATTTACCATTATATTAAGCATTAATACCACCAATCTCATTATTAAATTAAAAAGTAAAACCTTGTTTATACAAACCATGAACATAAATAATATTTCTCGCCATGTCAGACGAGTAGCAACAATTATTCAAATCTAAATTTAACCCACTACTAAGAAATAAAGAATAAACTCCAATCTTGGTGATAGGTGACGCTTTCCTATTCCCCATGATCAAGTTTATCTTCCCGTGCTCCACATCCCTACTTCTTTTTAGACCCTGCAAATCAGAACAAATGTGAAAACCACATCCTGTATCAAGGAACCAAGAATTAGAATGTGATGAGTTATTAGATAGAATAGTGTAAATACCTGCAAATGTGGGTTTGATCTTCCCATCCTTTATGTCCTGCAAGTATTTGGGGCAGCTTCATTTCCAGTGGCCTTTTTCATGACAATGGAAGCACTCTGCTTCCTTTGGATTGGAAGAGGGTTTAGCAGAACCAACTATGGTCCCACTAGAAAGGATCCATCATGGGACTTTCCCTTGTGGCTCTTAGAAGGAGCCTTCCTCTTCTTACCCTTCCCATGTGCAATTGCCAAGACAGAGGCAACAGCAGTAGGAGTAGGTACAACAAACTTGTCTTTCAAACTACTTTCAGCAGTTCTCAGAAGGCCTTGAAGCTTGCTTAGAGTGACCTCCTCCTTGTTCATATGATAAGTCATACGAAACTGATCATAAGAAGAAGGCAAAGAGTGTAGGATAATGTCAATGGCCAACTCTTCATCGAAGTTGACATTCAACTTCAGCAAGCGGTCCACAAACCTTTACATCTTTTTGCAAGTGGGCTGTGATGGAATCTCCATCCTTAATTTTTGTTTTGATCAAGGAGGCAATGATTTCATACCTATCCTGCTGAGCACTTTGATGGTACCTTTCCATCAAGTCTTAGTGCATCTCATAGGGCCAAAAGTCCTCATAGGACTTTTGAAGCTCAGAAGTCATGGTAGCAATCATGATACACGACACCATTGTCGCGTCCCTCTCATGAGCCTTATATTCAGCAATTTGTTCAGGAGTGGCAGTGTTTTCAACAATCTCCTTTAGCTCTTTACCGAGGACATATTCCTTTTCCTCGTATCGAATGGTCATGCGAATGTTTCGAATCCACTCATTGAAATTCAACCCATCAAAAATGACCCTCCCACATAAGTTCATGAGAAAGAAAGAGCCAGAAGCATTTGGGTTTAAAGCAGTATTTCAAATAGACATCTGAAAAAGAAAGACAAGGTTTAGATTATATAAGGATCCTTAATATAACACTCAAATGGAATATTAAGGCTAGGATCCAACACAATATTCTACAATCCGTAAGAGGGATGTCGTAATCCAATTGCAAAATATTTGAAGGTAGGTAAATGACGATTTACCAATTTCCACCATGATAAACGAAATTGAAGATTAAGTTTTAAATGAATTGAAATTCCTAGATTCTTTAAGATTCATTGAACTTTTTCAATGACATGTTAAATCTCGTTTATGCCCTTCAAGTTTGTGACTGGGATACCGAGGATCACAAACAATGTGTGAATAACCATGCAAATGTGCTTGGTACTCTTGATGTTACTTATCACCTAATCAATGTGTCGGTTAACTACACACGCTCCATTGATCTATGATAAACTTCAAGCTACCCTTTGCCACCCTTGTTAGTCCCAAATTAGTGTGCCGGTTAACCACACACGCTCCACTAACGACTTGGCAAGGTGCAAAGTGCAATTTCATGGAATAGCACCATTTTCACATTTTTCCTGAAGTAACTAAGATTGGAAATTTATAAAAGTTTAGTTACTTCATAATATCATTATACTTATTAATGAGGATTAATGCCCTATCCTACCCGTTCGGCTAACGACCCTCCACTAGTCAACAGTGCGGTGGGTAAGAGTGGATACCCAATGGCGGTCATATAATAGGCCGCATCCTTAAACACCTCTTATAGACTAGCTTCGTGAATGAGGCCTACTAACGGTAAGACTGAATTGTCTTATACGTATATACAAGTATTAAACTTTTAATATTATAATAGTATAGGGTTGAATTTTAAACTTTTAAAATTCTAGGGTTTGGAATTAAAGTTTCATAAATGAGACTTTTCAAATTCCAAAACTTGAGGACAAGTTTTGAAATTCTTCAAAACCTCTTGAGTTTTAGAATTTATGTTACATAAATGAGACTTTCCAAATTCCATAACTTGAGGGCAAGTTATGAAACTCTTCAAGACCTTTGGAATTCCATAACTTAAGGAGTTAATGTTTCATGAATGAGATTTTTCAAATTCCATAACTTGAGGGCAAGTTATGAAACTCTTCAAAAAACATTTAGATCAAATTTAACTAATAAAATTACCATAGGATTTTATCATTTACCAATTTGACCAAATATTATTCATATAGCAAGATAAATTCTACAAATAATTAGTTTTTCACAAAATCAAGTAATTATCTTAAAATTTTGACAATCATCATGTTATTGGATGGGGATAATGATTACCATATTAGTAAAATCAAATTTTATGATCCAAAGCAGTTTGTGGTAATGATCTTAATCCAAAACAAGCCAAAAACTCGAAAATTCTGCCAACAGATGATCCAACTCGTCGAGCCAGGCAATGGACTCGCCAAGTTCATCATCATATGATCCAACTCGTCGAGTTCCCTTATGGGACTCGTCGAGTTCAGTTTGGCAGAATCCAAAATTGCAATTTTTCCAGCTTTGAAAATAACACAATTGCATCAATATAACAGAAAACACCCTAGGCTATAATACCACTATTGGGTTTTATGTACTCTAACATCCCTACGGTGCACATAAAACCCTAATGCTTTGGAACTAAGTTTTCTCTAGTTATACATGCAATATTCATTTTTCCAAAGCATGAAGCCTAACTAGCATACAACTTAGATATTTGAATCATAAAAACTAGTTAGATGATTACCTCTTGTAGTAGCTTGTATAACTTGGCCTTATAAGAGCTTAGCACCTCAAGTGTGATGCCTCAATAAAGTCACAAACACCAAGAACAATTAGAAGAATATGAGAGAGGTTTAGGAGACACCAAAATCGGCTAGCTTCTTCTTGGAATACTTGTGTGCCGATTTTGGAGCTAAGGGAACACATTTATAGTGTAGAATTTCATGGGTCACTTGTAAACCCTAATTCATAGACTTAGGCTTTTAATCCAATAACACTTCATGGACTCTCATATGAATTTAGTCCATTACTAATTAATCATGGATCATTAGCCCAAATTATATGTATAATTGATTTACATAATCAGCCCCTGTTAATTTAATCAGTCTCTTTTGATCACTAAATTAATTCCAAATTAATTCTTGATCAATACCAATTAAATAACATGATTTCTCAATTAATATATTATTCTTATAATATATTAGTAAATCACAAATAACCTCTTTCTCAAATATCCATCCTATCAAATTGTTCTGGTGAAGGCAACCTAAAATAGACCATGCTACTATCGGGTCAAGTACATACCAAATATAGTTATGGGCTTAGACACCTAATCCAATAAGGTGGTCTATGGATAAGCTTGCAAATGTTACGTGAAGGAAGTTCTAAGACTTCACGGTGTTCCTTTAACGATTGTATCAGATCGTGATAGTCGTTTCACATCGAGGTTTTAGAGGAGTCTACAAGAGGAAATGGGTACGAAGTTGTGTTTAAGTACAACTTACCATCCAGTCATAAGATGAGGGTCGGGAGGGCATTCCAGTCTTATGCTATGGGTTTGAGGCAATCCAGTCTGGAGACTGTGGGCCGAGGGGCAATCCAGTTTTATACTATGGGTATGGTATGCATGTATTGTTTATGTATTGTTGTATGGGGTATTTTGGGGGAACTCAGTAAGCTTCATGCTTATCCAGTTGTTTGTAATTGTTTTTCGGGTAACATTGGTGATTATGTGAAGGCGAAGGAGTGATCGTACAAATCCTCTTGTTGATTTATACTTGAGAGACTATTTGATACTCCGACTCTATGGCTTTGATTTGAAACAATGAATGATTATCTTATTATTTTATGGAAATATATTTAATAAAACTGAAAAATGTTGGCATGGTTTTTCGGATGTTACAATATATGGAACAAAACCACACAAATATCCTAATTTTAGTTCTCCGGAACAGACCTCCGGAATGTACGACCATCTCGAAGTACATATAATTTGAGTTACAGGTTAATGGGTTTCCCTCGATCCTATAGTATAATAATAACATGGGATCATATATGGTTCATACAACATCAAAAATCGCAGCACTTGTAAAATTGGGGAAAGTCACTTGTGCACCTAAACCGTTCGATGAAATGCCCAAAAGAGACACAGTCGTCTGGAACACAATGCTCACTTCTTATACCCATTTTGGTCTTTACCAAAAGCTCTGTTACTATTCCACGAAATAACAAGAATTGATTGTATCAAACCTGATCATTACTCATTTACTGCAACTTTGAGTGCATGAGCAGGATCAGGTAAGCTGTGTTATGGACAAAAGATCCATGCATTGATTCTTTCTGCTGGATATTCTTCTTCACTTCTAGTGAATAATGCACTTATTGATATGTATGGCAAGTGTTTGAGCCCTTGTAGTGCACATGATGTGTTTGAAGAAATTGAGTTGATCAGAAACAATGTTTCTTGGTGTTCTTTACTGTTTGCTTATGTTAACTCCAATCAATTTCAATCTGCCCAAAGTGTTTTTGAGGCTATGCCAAATAGGGTGAATATTGCTTGGAATACTCTGATTGCAGGTCATGCTCGACATAGCACTGTCAATTCTTGTGTTGATTTGTTCACGAGGATGATGATTGAATCATGTGATCAAATTCAAGATCAATAGACATTCAGTGCACTCATGAATGTTGCTACTGAATCACAAGAATATCACATTGGTTGCATGTTTCATGCTATTGTTGTCAAGAAAGGGTGGAATTCAGTAGTTGAAGCAAACAACTCAATTCTTAGTTTCTATCCATATTTAAGTATTCCAGAATATGTACTGAAAATCTTTGAGTCCATTCACACTCTCACTCAAGTTTCTTGGAATGCAATAATAGACGCGCTAATGAAAATAGGAAATATCCAAAAAGCCCTTATCTCATTTCACAACGCCCCTGAAAAAAACGTTATTTCTTGGATTTCAATGATATCAGGGTATGTTAGACACGGAAATTCTGAAGAAGGGATACGTTTTTTTTGTCAATATGATAAGATCCATCCTTCTTCCTGGTGATTTTTCTTTAGGAACAGTTCTTCATGCATGTTCTCTCTTGGCAACATTAGGTCACGGAAAAATGATTCATAGTCTTGCAATTCGACATGGATTTCACTCTTATGCTTATGTTGGAAATGGATTGGTTAACATGTATGCAAAATGTGGAGATATTTTTGGTTCTTTCCAATCTTTTAATGATATAATTGAAAAAGATTTGCTTTCATGAAATACAATGTTGATTTCCTATGGTCTACATGGATAGGGTGATAAAGCCCTAGAGATTTATGACAAAATGATAACATCTAATTTGAAACCAGATAATGTGACATGCATAAGCTTATTAATGACATGTAGCCACTTAGGGTTTGTTGAAAAAGGTCGATACTTTTCCCAATCGATGAGTGGGGTCCATGGGTTGTATCCTGAGGTAGAACATGTGGCATGCATGGTGGATATGTTGGCTCGAGGAGGGGAGTTGGAAGAAGCAAGAGAGATGGTGGAAAGTTACAGAAGGACACATGGTGAAATAGGGAAGTCGAGTGAGGGTGTTTTTGGATCTTGTTATGCACATGGTGAGTTGGAGATGTTGGAAGGTGAAAGTGAGATGAGTTATGTGGTGCTTTCGAATTTGTATTGTGTAAAGGGGAAGTGGAAAGAAGCTGAGATGGTTAGGAAAGTTATGGCTGATGAAGGGGTGAAGAAGATGCCTGGTTATAGTTGGATTGAAGTTAAAAACAAGGTGGTGACATTTGTTGATGGTGGGGGTTTATGTGTAGAGAATGAAGATATGTTTCTGTAATATATTTTCTTGAATATCATTTGAAGAATCCATGGTGATGGAAGTAATTAAAGATGATGTTGACTTTTGAAGATCAAGATGGAAATATAAACCTCATGACAAGTATAAACTAAGAAAAACACACATAATATGATTATTGAGTGTATTACATGAGAAAATCAAATTCTATAGGAGAATACGAAGCAATGAGCAAGCTCATGGATTCGAGTAAAGATAGATCTTCAAAACGGTCTCATGATGGAAACATTTATGTGTGTACATTTATAATATCTTTGTCAAAGAATATTTCACATAACATTATTTAAAAAACAAGTAAATAGAAGTAATTTTGCTCATTTTATTTATATATTATTTGTGTGCCACCACTTTTTTTTCTTAATAACAATATATACTTTTAATTGAAATTGAGTAAACTAACTAACCGTACCTCTGTAAGTCTTTTGATCAACTTGTTCTCCTTCTGGATCTGTAGAGATCTTATGAGTACATGCCATTGGTACTTTTACAGGAGCACCATATTCCATGTTAAACTTTTTCAGAAAGTCTTTTGTGTATCATTCTTGATGAATAAAGATACATTCAGTGGTTTGTTTCACTTGAAAACCTAGAAAGAAGCTTAGTTCTCTGTTCATGCTCATTTTGAATTTGTTGGCCGTAAACTTTGCGAAGTCTTATACCATTGTTTCATTTGTAGAACCTAATATTATGTTATCCACATACACTTGTACAAGCATAAGATGCTTCTCATTTGATCTCCTGAATAGGGTGGGATCAAAAATAACTCATGCGAGTCCAGAGTCCTTAGTATGGAATGTAGACAATGTCTCATACCAAGCTTTCAGGGCTTGTTTCAAATCATACACAACCTTATGGAATGTAGACAATGTCTCATACCAAGCTTCAGGGCTTGTTTCAAATCATACACAACCTTATCTGGCTTGTAGCAGCAATATGGAAAATCTTCATTCACAAAAACTGGAAGTTGTTCTAGGTACACCTGTTTTTTCACGTCACCATTAAGAAAGACACTCTTGACATTCATTTGATACACCTTAATGAGTTTTATGAGCAACATATACACGAGAAATATGTGTATGGATTCAAGACGAACAACATGCATAAGTTTCTTCATAATCGATGCCTTCTAATTATTGAAAACCTTGAGCAACATTTCTTTCCTTGTTTTGAATGATGGCTCCAAAGTCACCGACTTTGTTTCTAAACAACCACCGACCACTTTGTGATTTCTTGGTTTGGGAACTAAAGTCCAGACTTTGTTTCTCTGAAATTCCGTCAATTCCTCTTGGGTTGCTATGACCTAATCAGATTCATCGAAAGCTTGTTCAATGGATTTTTGTTCAACCTTCGAAAGAAAGGCAACAAAGTTACATTCTTCCTTAATATCTTTCGTGAAACGAGTTTGTACGCTTGCGTTTGGATTTCTAATGATTTGATTTGGTGGATGGTCTCTTTTCCAAATATGTAGTTGTGGCAAATTTCTGTAACACCCGTTTTCCCGGTATGTATTTTGAATTGCTTAAGTTTTTTATTATTGAAACACAAGCTTTTTGCTGGGGGCGGGACATGCTTTTTTAGGGCATGGTGTGCTTACCACGTGGTAGGTGTGACACGACCTCAAATGAACTGCGCGACGTGCTTCTACCGATGGGCCAAACTAGGGATGGAAAATCGGGTCATCACGTCATGTTTTTTGTTTGACATGACATGACTCAACAATGTTTTATGTAACACGAACACAACACGACACCATGTTGTGTTTTTTAGCTAACACAAAAACGAACCAATTTAAAAACGATAAACACGACACGACATGACAAAGATAATATAATATATAACAATTAGTTTATTTAATTAATATTTAATCATACATAACACGATAATCACAAAAAACACGACAAGTAAATGCTAAATCGTGTCAATTTCGTGTCAAATTTTGAACATGAACACAACACGACAAGACATCATGTTTTTTAAACTTGACACAAACACGACACACACACGAATTCAAATTTCAGTTTTGTCCCAGTTTCGTTTTGTTTCGTGTCAACAATTCCACCCCTAGCCAAACCTTAGAAGCATCGAAATTTGGGCCTATTTGATGGCAAAAACCCATAGGATTTTGTCATTCTCTCAGCCACCATCATTAAAAAATCCTACTTGCAAACCTTAGCCTCTATCCATTGTGTTCTTGAGTTATTTTGCTTTGCTTGTGAAGCTTGAAGGTGAAGATAGAGCATTGTAGTGATTTGTAGCTTGATTCAAAGAAGATCCAACGACTCAAGCTTCTTTTGGACCTTCTGTAAGTGTAAATCTCTCACCTTTATGCCTTTCTCTCTTTAGAGTTGGTAGTAGAATGAGGTTTTGGTACCTAGAGTTGATATTCTTGGAGCTAAGAGTTTATAATGTTATTTATATGCTTTTTGACCTCTAAAATTGTATAAAAGGGCCATGCATGTGTTTCCTTGAGACCATGCACAAGATTGTGACCTTTTAAAAGTTTTATGGACCTAGGGTTTGAGATCTTGTTTCTTACAAGCATTAAAATGGATAAACTTGGAAACTTTATTAATTTGGACACTGGGGAGCTTTAGATATGAGATTAGGTGCTTTAGATATGAGATTTAGAGCTTCTAACTTTAGGGATTAAGTGTTCAATGACAAAAAACAGTTAAGCTATGTGACGTGACGCTCCTATTGAGTTTCACGACGCGCCTATTAGGATTTCATGAATATTTTGGCGTGTAGTGGGAGTAACGTGTCGATTCAAGGTCATGACGCGCTTAGCCGTTGACCGTTGACTTCGACTTTTGGCTAAAGTTTGAGATATGAGTTGTAGACTAAGGATTGACCTTTAATTGTTTTCTAGGTGGTTCGTGAGACCGATTCTGACATATACGCATGTGTATCTGTGATTCTTCAGCTTATTGTACATGTGATTTGTGTCACTGTACTAAGTGTTAGAGTATATGTCATTTGCATGATAAGATGTATTGATACTATAGTATGTTGATTGTATGAGTAGGCTAGCAGAGTCTATTGTATGTTGATTGCTTGCTTATATGATATGTTGATATGTATGTTTGGGGAGTTGATGGTGGATCAAAAATAGAGCCGAAAACCTAGAATACTTGCGTCATTGACTAGACGTGAACTAAGACATTAGTCATTATTTATGACTAGACATGCACTAGAGTTGTTAGTCTCCGTTTGATAAGGTGGATCGACACTAGATCCGAGAGCCTTTTGTTTGTATGTATTGTATGTGTATTGTAGTATGTGGTATTTTGGAGAACTCACTAAGCTTTGTGCTTACAATTATGGATTAAATGGCTTCCAGGTAGTTCTTCTGGTTGTGGGAGGGCTCCAGCTTGACTGTACTTTACGTGCATCGCAAATGATCGTGTTTTTAGACTTCCATAGATTATGATGATTTTGATACACTGTTTTCCATGATTTTATTTTGGTATACTTGACATTATGGTTTGATGATGTTTTAAAATGATTCAATACTTTTTGATCTTTTTATGAAAATGTTCTGGAGACTTTACTAAATTTTAAAAATAAAAAAACTTTAGGTTGAAATTAAAACGTTACAATTTTGTTCTTCTGTTGCGGTTGAAGGAATATATATTTTTTTAATTTACTAAATGCCTGAAATTTCTTGGATTGGCAGCATATCATCATGGGAGTAATCCCCATATGATTCTTTGTGAGGACTGCATTTTTGTGGATCAACACAATAGTTGCACCCTTATCAACAAGGATTTAAAATCTATCTCAGGGAAGATTTCTTGTAAAACATACT